TTAAACGATTCCTCCTTACTTGTTTCGATATGTTTTTTCATTCTTTTGTACCCCATTCCATATAAATAAGGGCATCCCAAACTTCATTTATGATCCATTGCCTTGACATGCTTTTACAGTTCATGATGTTTTCTATGTTGGCTTCTTTCTTTGCTTGTGTCTTTTTTTCTGAAAGCATATCTTTTAGTTGATCAGAACAAATTTTATTCCATATTCGTCAAACCAAAAGATTTTCATTTGGAGCCCAGACAAATTTTTTCTACAATAAAATAATAGAGTCAATTAAAAATTTAATACATAATTAAACACAAGTAGTTATAATTTAGTTGAATATTAAACATATACCTCAAATTTCTTAAACATTAAATCCTTAATGTTATTAGGGATTTTCTTCCATGTCGGTTATGTATTGTGAACGTGATTTTTTATGATTTTTGTTATTGTTGTGATGACTCCTATCTAAAAAAAAGTACTATTACAAGATAAAAGAAAATTATTGCTTAGTATATTATGTAAGAGATATAACTATTTTATTACAATATAAGATAATATACCTATCTCCAAAATGAGTTATACGCAATCTTTGAGTTGGATCTATAGGTGTATGTATTCTTACACCAAGCTTTCTACCCTTCGACCTTGAGGATGTACCATCTTCATTTACACCTAAATCAATGGATGTGGACCCATGAGAATTGTAAGCAAATGTCACATTGATTATAGGCTCTATAGATGCATCAAACGAAGAAAGTGGCTTTGAGGGTAAATCATTAGCTTGCTGTCTCTGTGGATGAATGGATGGATTAGGAAATGCATCAACATTGGTAAGTGACAACATAGATCCAAAGGCATTTGTTGCTCAAGGTTTTGGTTTTGAATGCTTCCCTTTAACTATCATTCCTACAATGTAACAAAATATTCATACATAAGCTAAAAGAAATTGAAACAAACTATCAAAATCATCATCAAAATATAAGAATTAAGACTAATTCCCATTCATGTTTATAATAAAAAAATGTTAATAAGAACATGGAAGCCATGATAAAAGAAATTGAAACAAATTATCAAAATCATCATCAAAATATAAGAATTAAGACTAATTCCCATTCATGTTTACAATAAAAAATGTTAACAAGAACATGGAAGCCATGATAAAAGAAATTGAAACAAATTATCAAAATCATCATCAAAGTGTAAGAATCAAGACTAATTCCCATACATGTTTGCAATAAAAACTGTTAACAAAAACATGCCATACTAACATACATTTAAATATTTTAAAATATAAATAAATATAAAAACATATCAAGATTTTTGAATAATAATAATAATAATAATTAAGTTAAACAATTATGTAATAAAATATACAAAACCAATAACATATATTCCTAACATCATTAATCACTTTTAGAATAAGCAAACTCATGTTCTTCATAGACTTCATTCTTATCGTTGTCACTAAAAGTTTATTCATCTTGGTCTTTAAGTTCTTCTTCATCTATTTCTACTTCATCTTTTTCCATGTCATCTTTTTCGTTTTCAATCAAGACATTAACCTTTTCATAATTACCACTTGTTAATACTATAGGGATATCAAGATCCTCAGAAGGAGTAATATTAATTGGAATATACACATCATCTTCTTGGTACACTTTTTCATTCAAATCAATTTCATTTCTTTGTCTCCATTACATGGAAGGTGGAATTTACTCTTGGATTTTGTTTTAAATACTATCACCAATCACGTCGATCTCTTTTGGTTGATTGATAACTACTATAGTAAACTTGGCGAGCTTATGCAGCTAAAACAAATGGTTCATTCGTAGCAAGCATCAAGTTGTGTTTAATTTTAGTAAGACCATGAAAGGGACTACCCTATCACTTTTTTCAATGTCAAACATTATCAAAGAAACTATATATTTCAATTAAACATTCAAATATTATGGCACAAAATTGGGTGACTCATAAAGTAATAATAATAAAACTTTATCAAATGAATATCTTATGCTAACAAATGCTTTTAAATTACAAAACAAATCTTATTTTCATGAAAAATGTGGACTTTTAATCATTGAATTGAGTACGATTTTACTTTCTTGCTATCAATTCCTTTAAATATTTTCTTTCATAAACATCTAATTCATATTCCAACTTTACAAATGCAACTAATATTTCTCTACTATAAATACCATGCACCTAATCTATGCATAGTCATAATTTTGTTTTAAGTAATAATTTTCAGTTCAAAGATTATTGAATACACAATCAAGCATGCATATATATATATATATATATATATATATATATGTAGTCATTATTTTGTTCAAATAATAAACTATTTAAAAGATTATCTGGATCTTTCAAACATAAAAATTTCATCGTTGGTGTATAAGATAATAATATATTATTAGTATTAGCAAATCATTTCGACGTAAATAATAATTATATAGTCTACTTAAAGTAAAGAAGAAATTGGCCAAAAAGATTTAATTAATTTATTGCAAGAGCAATAATTTTTTTATACAAAAACTAGAAGCTAAATTTCTTATTACTAAATGTAATTTTCACATAAAAAAGATAAAGTTTCTACATTGGTCTATAGATGATGCTTACCAAAACAAAGAATTACACCGCAAACAAGCTAGGTTAAAAAATGAAAAATGAAAAATGAATGAAAAGAGTTATTTCTACTTAGTCCATTCAACTTCATTTTACTATAAACTCAAGTATTTAACAGCCATATAACTATCTCCATATGAAAGCATCTAACAGACAATTTAAGAATGAGCATCTAATATGCTTTCTATCTGATATTGGTGTAGCAAAAAATTAAAATATTCCAATCTTAAGATACAGAGTTGATGGATGATTATGGAAATGTTCATCTTGACTAAAAGAAATGTACACAAAATAGCTTTCCAAACAGGATCAAATCCTTACCATCCAACAAAACACTGCAACTAAAGTATCTTGCCCCTATATCCCATCATCACATGAGGCTTGGATTTAGCCCTCATGAATGTAACCAAGAAAGATAAAAAATCACAACTTTTTGACTAAAGAAAGATGAACCAAGAGTGTATCCACCTATTTCTTGCAACTATCCAAGTAATTCGCACAAATTAACCCAACATAACCCTTTATGCAATCAACATATACTACACGGTAATTGTTGGCCACATTTTTTAGTAACCACAAGGAAGAGGTTAGTATATGATGATTGGCTCATGATGGAAGTAACCTTAATTTAAAATTTGCAAATATAGGAGGTAAATTTAAAGTAATGCCTATATCCACATTACTTAATTTAAAATTTACATTCATAAAGAATGTGGTATGCTACAAATATAGGAGGCAAAAAAGTAATTAAGTATAAAAATTAGAACTTGCAAGGATTTGAGGGAGAGCACAAAAATTGCCATTAATAGCAAGTGATGAGTCAAGCTTATTAGTGTATTAGGGCCTGAAGTAGCATATTTCATAAAGTGTTAAGATGAAAAAAGTCTTAGATTGTCTCACTTAAGGTTGATGGAAAAGCTAAAAATCATTGTTATTTGTTAACATGTAGCTTTCCATAAAAAAAAAAGTTTTTCAAGTAAAAATCTAAGTGGCCCTTGTCTCTAGCTTTGATTTTAAAGGATAACTTAGTTTTCTTCTTCTCCCTAACACAGAAGAAAATCAAAGATGACAAAACTTCTATTACTTTTGCCATTTTCTGAATTATATTTCAATTTCTGGTAGGAATGTTTTGATTAGCATCAAATTAGTTTGATACAATTACGCAAGTCAGGATGGCAAGCAGTTGCAATCCCATAAAAAAAGAGTAAGTAAGTCGACCTATATGAGGTAACTAAACTGACAACTCCTACGCTAGTGTACATTTAATATTGATCAATAGAATATTCTGATTGGTCTTGTACTATACACTAATTACATCTCAATGATGAAAACTGACATAAACTACTAGCATAAAATCCTACATGAGCTATTTAAGTTGCCCACGGGAAATGCTTATAGTTTGGCTTGCTAGAAATGTCCAGTAACGGGAATTTAACCTTTTGCCTTTTTGGATTAATAGATACAACCAGAACAGACAAAGAACAGAGATAAACAAACAAAATGAGCTAGTTTTATTATCAAAAAAAAAAAAGAGAAAAAAACAGTTTTGCAAGTTTTTAT